TGTGGGCTCAGCCTGTGGGCTCAGCCTGTGGGCTCAGCCTGTGGGCTCAACCTGTAGGCTCGGCTTGTGGGCTCGGCCTGTGGGCTCAGCCTGTGGACTCAGCCTGTGGGCTCAGCCTGTGGGCTCAGCCTGTGGGCTCAGCCTGTGGGCTCAGCATGTGAGGTCAACCTGTGCAGGAGGTTGACGCCTGTGAGACTCGAGGTAGGCCACCCCTCAGTACACGTATGCACTGCATGCAAGATTTTGCCTACCTATCAGGCGCTGAGAGCTCATCGCCTGGGCTGACTGTGAGCTTTGAGTAAAGCGGCGGACGTACTTTCTGCAGGGCTGGCAAAATACATTAAATAACGTCATCAACGACCATAATTTGACGTCAAAATGAGCTCAATCTGGCTACCTAGCCGCAGTAAATTTTGACGACAAAGAGTAGTTTACAAAGGCTTGGGTTTGTAACATACAAAGGATCAAAAACCACTATATTACAAACGTTTTTCTTTTTCACATATTTTGAACAGAGCGTCAGTTTGTGTAAAGACACGCGATCTTTGCAATGGTCGGGTCGGGCCCTTCGTAAAACAAAGTTTTTAGTACACATATGCGCCAGTTATATTGTACGTTACAAATAGGAGTTAAGAAACTTATGGTGTGTGTCACCCGCCTTAGTAACACAAAACTGTCGCACATAGTGCAACTTTTTTCGGATTATTATTGTGACGATAACGAATAGCCAGCAGTGCTGGCTTTTCCACAGTCAGACGGTTGTCGCCCGTCTATCAAGTTTAAACTATCTACCATTCTGTGGTCAAATCAACAACAGTGGTTTTTCGCTCCCATTACGATAGCTGGCCGATAGAGATTTTCGTTCCTAGAAAAAAACATAGTATAGCGATAGAATCATTTTTCTCACTTCGTATACAGGGTGGGTGATCCGCGCCGTGGTTTTTTTCTGCTTATACTGTACCGGATTCATCCGTGCGGACGGGTTGCATACTCGCACGGGGCCGTAAGGCGCCATGGCGAGTGACGATAGGCAAGCCCGCCCGCACGCATGAATCCGGTACAGCATAAGCAGAAAAAAACCACGGCGCGGATCACCCACCCTGTATCGCAGCGACGGTTCGTATCTTTTTTCTACTGTTGTCCGACAGTCGTACGACAGTTCTGTGCTACTAGGGCGTAGACAGCAGTTAATGGTTGGAAGGGTAGGGGGAGGGAGGAATATTTGGGCTTTAAAAGTACTGCAGTCATAGATGGGTCAATGTGCGAAAGATCCCCAATCCCTGTCTTGCAATTTGTCGCTCGCGGCGTCTTGTTGGGCTCGCCATGAGGCCTGCCCGCCCCCCCCC